ATTCTAAAATTTTGATTATACATGTTTGTCTCCATGTTTGATGTAATGGCAATGTCAGATTTCTAGAAATCCTTTAGAATTCTTTGTTTCCCAAAAATGGCTTAAAAATAATTTTCACTTTATTTATCAATTTTCTCAAAACGGATGTTTATGCTAAATATCGACAGCAGAACAAATTTTTTTTCAATATACTTCATCCTAGAGAGCTGCGGTTTTTTTTAGTCGATACATACATGTGTACTGCTTCGAATGAGGGAAAGGGACTTTTTATTTAATCGTCAATCTGAGAGAAATCCAGGGTTTTTCAAAAGCGTTGGGGTAAGATTTTCAGAATTTTTGGGTTTTGGACGTCCCTAAATTGAACAAAGGAAAATTTAAAAAATCTCTTTCCCTCAGTCCAAGCGGTAAACAGTTCTTCTTCAAATAAAACAATCCCCGATTCAGTCCGTTGAAGTATAGTGAAAAAAGTTTGTACTGCCAGAGGGCCCATTTTTGGCCTTGATCTCTGGAAAACTTCTGAACGCTGAGGTTTAGAGAAGTAAAAAAAATTTCGTAACTTTACTCTGATGTGCCCAACATTTGTGGAAAGTTTCAGGCAAGTCCGATGCACTGTAACGAAAATCGATTTTGGAGGGGGTGGGGGGGATGCCTTAAATCATCATTTGTTGAATGTACTTTGACAGATAATCAAAATATGTTTTGGAAGAAAACTAATGAATTTTGAAAACGGAAAGGCTTAACTTGAAAGCTTATGACAATGTTGAAACTGACAACAGCTAATATCTGGTGTAGATATTTAAAAAAAATTTCGTTTTATTTTTTCAAAAAATAAATTCACCTACAAAACTGTTTGTTTCTTAAAATCAAAGATGGTCCCTGTGAATAAACATAATTCAAAGTATTTCTATTAAATGGAATTTTATCATAATATACTTAATCTATTTATATTGACATCAAATGACGCTTTAGAATTTAAAATAGACTTATTTTGATCTTCTAGCATTCATAGAGTATAGTTCACAGAGATGCAAGAGATAATAAAGAAATTCTAATATAGGAAATAGAGTAAACATACAGTTTATTAATAATGTTCATATTAGACAAAGATAAATTTTAAACTTAAGTAAAAATTTAACAGAAAAAGAATTTCAGTGAGTAACATCTGCTTTACAATCTCGAAAAAAACGTACTGCAAATACGAAAAAACTTCTTTGCGCAGATCCATATTTTTCCTCTTCTAGATAAATCGACTTCTTAAGTCTAGATTTCTATCAAATTCTATTTACACAAAAAAGATAAAGGTAACTTGTTATTTTTCTATTATGTAATTTCTTCTTTTTATTTTACGATGTGTTTCGAGTGACGAAATCAAGAAAATGACTCCATCCAATCTTGAAAAACTTTTTCTAGTACAGTACAGTTTCGGCGTTTTATTGTTGTTTTTACTCACTAATGCCTGCCACCTCCCACTCCACAATCTTGACGATCTCGGCACATCTCTGCTTATAATTATGTTTAAATCAGATAGTATATGTGATTTAAATTTCATCATCTAAATTGTATACCTTGGTGTTTCATTTCCTGAAGTTAAACCACTATTAATACCATTTTGAGCATAAACAGGATGTAAATCTCCTGTTGTTGTTGTTGATGATGATGATGATGATGATGATGGAGCTAAAAAATATGCATAATAAATTAAAAATATTATTTTCATTCTTACCAAATGAATCACTGAAGTTTTCATTTAATGATATTGATGAAAGTGGTCTTAAATTTATACCTGAAGATTGTTGTGGAAGTAATAAAACATCATTGTTATGTAGTGGTGGTAGAAAGTGTTGTTGAAAACGTTGAGAACTATTAAGTTTTGTATCAATTGATATTCGATTAACATTTAATTTTATATTAATAGGACGAGGAGGGATTGGAGGAGGTGTAGAAGATATATTATCTGATGAAACTTGTACACTATGAGAATTTTCATTATTTACTGGAAGAGATATTGCAAGTGTTTGTAAATTTTGAGCATTTAAATTAATATTTAATTTTTGCTAGAAAATACTATACATAGAAAAACAAAAAGCTTTTAAAAATTTGTTTATTTTACATTATCAACTTCATTTGAATTTGATTCTTTTTTATTTTGTATTGTTGAACTATCAAATGGATTAATAATAACAGGTTCAAAACCTTTTATTTCACTACGACAAAATGGACATAAAGATAATGGCTTAGAACTAGTTTGATTCTAAAAATTTATTTATTTATCTATTGATTTAATAAAACATAAATTAAAATAATTTTACCTGCCAAGCTATTAAACAAGTTTGACAAAGTAAATGACCACATGGTTGAATTTTACTATCTTTATTATTAACTGAACATATTTTACATAATTCAAAACTTGTACCCATATCACAATATATTGCATATTGTTCTTCGGATATATATATACGATCTGATTCTGTTGGTCTTAATGCTGATGATAAATCGATATGAATGTTTTTTCCGTTTGGATATTTATAACTATGAAATATTTCATTTAATTGAATTGAAAAAAGAAAATCAAATATAAATTTCAATATACTTACTATCCTTCGCGTTCTCCATCGATTAATGATTGAATTAATGATTTTGTTTGTGGTATTGTTTGAAGTATTGTATTTTGTGTTGTTACATAGCCAATTGCCCATTGTCCAAGACGTGTACAACTTAATCGAAATACATAACTACCTGGTTTGTCAATATAATTTGTTAATATTGCTTTCACTTCATCATAAGTCATGAATGCCATAAAACCAGGATGAGTCACAGCTAATAATTTCCAATTGATTAAAACTGATGACCATGGATGAAATAATCTATTTAGGAAACAAAAAATATTTAATTAAATACATGTAGAATTTTCTTTCAAATCAATATTGAACAAGGATGTTTAGCAGCCTTACGAATAAGTTATTAGTCAAAAAATGAAACAATTATCGATCGAATTTTCTTAGAGAATTATTCGGCAAGCATGAAATTTATATCAGGATGAATTTTATAAGATGAATAAATCTTCGAAAGACTATTTGTATTGATTATCATCCTAATTTACATTCTATAAAAATGTACTAATTTATACTATTTCCGACGCCCAGTCTATATTTTTTTTACATTTCATGAAACAACAAAAAATACAAATCTTATTCGCAATTAATTTTCCAAACAATGTTTAGTTTAGGATTGTTTCTCTTTTTTGTTTAATTCAAACTATTCTTAGAACTATAAAATTTTGTCATAGATTAACTTTCATAACATGAGTTTTGATAGAGTATCAGTATAACTATGAAGTCTATTTTTTAGAATTAAAATATCAAGTATTCTAAGCAATTGACTTCATTATCATCAAGATTAATATATTAAATGTAATATTGAGTTAAATTTTCTACTTTAGACTATAATGAAAACTTTATTCTTCGTATGTTTAAGGCTCCCTAAAAAAAAAATCAAAACTGACTTTATAGCCTAGTGTCTAATCTTTCATAAACGACATGTTTTTTTATTTAGTATCTTCTTCTTTAGTAAATTTTTGTTGTTGTTTTTTGGTCATAATGTACTTGAAAAATATGTTCTTTTGAGAAAACGCGACAATTTTTTTCATTTCTTCTCTGTTCATACATGTTTTATCTCGGGCATCTCAGAATTCTCGAAGAAGCTTCATTAGAGCCAATTAATTTTTTTTGTTCATCAAAGTATGCAAAGCTGCAGTACTTGTTGTTTTTTAATTAAAATTTTTTTTATTATTATATAAAAAAAGGTACTTCTATACATAGATGACCAATTTTTGAGAGTTTCTCATCCTTTTTCTCCGCATAAAAAATAAGAATTTAAAAATCAAAAGAGCACTGAAATCTGGCATGATTTTGACCATTGTCGGTTGAATATCTCCCACGAATCCCATGATATCGTACTGAAAGCTCTACCATAGTCTTTTAACTACATCTCCCAGATATTCTAAACATTCCATGTGATTAGAATACACTTATTTCAAAATTAATTTTAGAACATGAGGCTTTGGTGGTGAACGAAATACACTAATTTATAAATTCATAAGTTTCAAAACAAAACTTCAGAAAAACAGTAGTGCAAAAATAAGCAGAGATGCTAGTCAAAAATTTTGATTCCACAGAGCTCTAATCTGTTTATACATGACGTTATGTTTATCTATTACACCTGATGTAATCAGAATTTTAACAGTGAGCAGAGTTTAACTGGCATGGCTTCGATTGATGGTGAACTTACAAGGGAACATTCCCAGGTGCCCGATCACTTTTGAGTCGGGACTTTACGCATCTTGTAGGTCTTGATGAATTATATCTACCATAGAAAAGTTCGCGCCCCTAACTTGTTCCTAGTGAGATATCGAGGTTTTAATGAATTTTCTCTATAAGACGCCACATTTGCAGCAAGGTCATATTTTTGAATTTTCGATCTGAAACTTTGCCCACATAAACACTTCAGCTAGATTAGTTTCCATAAAAAGTTTCAGAATTTTAGGACAAAGTCTCTCCGCAATATGACGCTTTCAACGTATAGGTCGTTTTCCATAGATAGTGTATAAAGCATACATTTTTTGA